GTAAGTCCTGTTGCACTCAATGATTTGACATCATCAATATTGAGAATGATCCTTAACTCAAAAATTTTGAGTCTCTCTGAATCTTGACATTCTTTAGTTTCACTGGAGAACACTTCATGTGTTGAAAAAAAGCATATGTAAATATTTCCTCCTGTAGATTGTTTCCTTTTCAATAGAAGACTTTCCTAATCTGTAATTGGTTCTATCTGATCCGTGGAGGCTGTATCCACGATGAGATTATAATCATTTTCTTGTTCAGTGATGCTTTCATGTATGCAGATCAGTCTTCTGCATGTCTGCTTATTTCAGATTCATTTTGAGTCCCACTTGTCTGCCTTTGGTGGTTTCTGAAGAACTTTCTCATCTCTCAGATCACTTTTTATCTGTATGGAATAATATCCTCTGAAAAACTGAAACAGTTCAGTTACTCTTTTTATTCCTTTTCCCCATAGTGCCTTTGGAAGACGTTCTCTGAGCAAATTGTGAAGGTTTATGGTTAGATACCATCAGCTTGTTTTATTTCTGTCATTGTTTCTGATGTCCCTACTGTTACTGCTCTGATACTGTTTTCATACCTGAATTAAAAGTCTTCTGCACGTGAGATCGTATGCATAATATTGTGTAGTCACATAGCTTCATTTTTTGATTCCCCCTGTTAAGTCCTTAGTCTCTGAAGAGTATATTCAGTCTATTTTGGCCGTCTTTTTATTGTCATAAATTTGATTTGCTAGTCAGCTATTTTATATAATTCAGGAATTCATTTTTGTGTATCTGGCACATCGTGAGCCTTACTTTTACGTGGAAATGGTAATCCAGCACTACACCCTGCAGTGCTTTTTCCAGAGTGGAAGAATGTATGTAGGGTCCAGTATTTTTTTCACTTTGTTTTCCGTAATATGAGAGATGCTACATGTATGTAAAAATCTTTAAAGGGAAAAATGCCCAAGGTCAAATCCATTGTAATAACCTGAATGTATTCCTGTCTCTTGCTTTCCCACGAAAAAAAGAGATGTCTAGTTCCACATTCTGTCTTTAAGCCCTATGAATGTCAGGGAATCTGGAGTGCTCTATTTAGTACATTTCATTTCTATTCTATCTCCAGTATGATTTTCAACACTAGTCTGTTACCTATATTTACATGTGCCAGAACTCAGCATTGAAACTAAGATTGAATTACTGTATATACTCATGTATAAATCGACCATATATATATGTAAGTCAATGAAAGGTTTGGTGAATGAAATTATGAATTTTGATATGACCTGTGCATAAGTCAACCCACCAAAAAATTTTCAGGTTAGAAAAAACATTTTTTTTTGGCTATTTGTGGCCTTACTAACCTTGCATATCTTGTGTCTTATACCTTTGGACTGTATTAGGATCTTTGGACTGTATTAAAAATGTTGTTGTTGTGTTATGGAATTACTCCTCATGATTTCTAAAAAAAAGTTTTAACACCGCCCCCCCCCCCCAAATTTTTCTACTTTGTTAATGTGGTACATTAACCCCCCCTCCCCCGAAGCAAAGTATACTACCTTCTTTTGTGGTGCGTGTCTTTCTGATTCATAAATATGTTTGATTTTGGAATGTTGTCAAGCAGGTAAATGAAATACAACTTTTTTTAAAAAAGTAAATATGCCCTTTTTTTGAAAAAAAAAATCCCTTGGTTCTTAGATGTGGATATTTATGGGGTGGCCAGGGAGGTTATTTCTCCAAGTGTTACTAGTTTATTCTCATTGCATACAGTAGAAACAAAATGTTTGGCCTTTTTTGAGATTGTGGAATGTCATGGGAAGCAGAGGGATTGATTGCTAACACTTTACCAATAAAGCGGACAAAAAGGAATAGAGATTCATCCAATGTATGCATATCAAAATTTATCTTTATAAACAGATATTTAGAGATAATAAGTGTAATTTCTGGAGGTGGTTTGGCTAATTGTCTTGTCATGGCTTTACTACTTTTTATTGATATTTAGATATGCAGTAACTAGTATCTTTTGGAGAAATAGGAAATCTATTTGGACAATCTGCTCTGGAGACTAGTGGATTTCTAAAATCTGGGGAATTTTTCAGCTAGTTTAGTTAGTGTTTCTATCAAAATGTTTGTCTCTCCGAAGTATATGAAGATGACCTGGGCAACCAATATGATTACTCCTGAGCATTTTCTCCTGTTTTGCAGAGCCCATTTTCCTCCTTATTGCTTGATCTGAGTTGGGGAAATGAAATGAGTTCTGAGATGGTTGGAGCATGGATGGAGGAAAAGTGATTGTATTAGTCATGTATGAGACTTTATCAAGTTTATTTTGTGGCAGTGATGGAACTAATTTTTCTTTTTAACCATTGCATCTTCTCATTGTTATCCATTAAAGCTTTTCTGAGTTGTTCTGGGTCTTTGGGATTTGGACTAATATGATTTCTGATAGAACTCTTGTTAGTACATTGTGACAAGTTTGCAAGTCATTCTGACAACAAATTCACTTATATCCATCAAGCCCTATGTCACTTAGCGCTAGCTGTTTAATGTATGGGTATGCCCAGGGCATCCTTGGTATAATATTGCTGGATGGGTTTTAGTTTTTTGAGTCTGAGGATATAAACCAAGGGCATCCACCAACCATTTATTTGCTTTTCTTTCTGGAATTGCTATCAAATTTACTTTGGACACTTACAGGTTATTTATTTATTTGTTGTGTCAGGACAACCAGTCAAATTATATTACATTTCTAACAGAACAAAGCAAACAAACAGACAAAATACAAAATTTGTGAGTTTGGTAGTTGATTAAATGTCCTTTGACTAGTATCTGGCCACTTGGAGTGCTTCTGGTGTTGCTGCAAGAAGGTCCTCCATTGTGCATGTGGTAGGGCTCAGGTTGCATTGCAGCAGGTGGTCAGTGGTTTGCTCCTCTCCGCACTCTCATGTCGAGGATTCCACTTTGTAGCCCCACTTCCAAAGGTTGGCTCTGCATCTCGTGGTGCCAGAGCGCAGTCTGTTCAGCGCCTTCCAAGTTGCCCAGTCCTCTGTGTGCCCAGGGGGAGTCTCTCATTTGGTATCAGCCATTGGTTGATGAAAGATGTCAATTGACTTCATAGACTTGTGAGTAAATAACTGTTGCTTCCATTTTATTGGTTTTGTCTTGCTATGCTAAGTTTTCAATACTGAAGAGTCAGGAAGAAGTAATAATGGATATTTGCTTCCAGTTTAATTGGTAGAACCAACTTCTACCACCAGAAATATGCTTTTTGGGGCCTTTCTAGTCTATTAAATGTATATACAAAGTTAGCCACATGTTTGATGTGTTAGAAGCAGTGATTCTGAGCTTTTATATTGAATCACTATCAAAATTTGGTCAATTAAATGATCAATATCATTGTATTTCTAATTTCGAGCTATGGTTGTGAAAGTTGGACATTGAAAAAAGCCTGTAAGAAGAAAATAACTTGAGATGGACTGGAGAAGAGTTCTACAATTTTTGTGGAGTTCTAAAAAGAGAAATACAGAATATGGATTGTAGAACTATATGCCCAGAAAATAGTCATGGGAAATTACTTATATGGCAACAGCAGCAAGACTGTTGTATGCACTAAGACGGAAGAATTCAACACTACTCACTATGGAGAAATTGTTGTCAAAACTGATAGATTCATCAGAAATTGATGTATTCTCTGGTTTGATTACAGAAAGGTAATTTCTCAAAGACTGTGGCCAGATCTGACATCTCTAGGAATGGACAACCAATGCAGTAGTTTTAATTCTGCAAATATATTCCTGGCCACTGCTGAAACCTGGGCTTGCATACTCATTGTTCACCTTAGCTAAAAATTTAAGATTTCAGGGAGAGTATAGGGTGAATTGTTTTCCCCTGATCTGTCTTCCAAATGAACAGGAAAAGCTCTGTGTTCTCTAGAGTAAAATTTAATTTGATCACCCTCGTGCAGTCCAGTACTTACACCAGACACTGGTTTAGTAATAAAACAGCTTTCCTGGAATTAAATGAAAAAAGGAGAGTGTAGAGCACACAGAGAGCCTTTCCCAGCAGATAAGCAACATAGGGGACAAAACTGAGGAACATTGCAGATCAGTGACCAGGATGTTGAACAGAAATTTCCCAGAATCACCTTCTGAGTATATCCCTGCAGGAAGGACTAAAGCCACAGTAAAACAGTGAAAATGTGGCACAGAAGGATGCCTTAGTATCAAAAGCCGCTCAGATCCAACAGAACTAGTGGGATACATTTCCCCTGTCCAGTTCCTGACATAGGTCTTCTATTCAGATGACCAAAGGTCTTTCTTCTATCCAATAAACATGCCTGAAGCCACACGGAAATGGATCTAGGTTCTACATCCTGGAACATCAGGAGCTAGGAGGCCATAACATGCTCCAGAATCTTGTCCCCCCCCCCCCCCAAAAGATATCAGAAATTGTCTAATGGAAGATACTAATGAATGTAGTGTATGCTTTCCCTTCTTTCTCTACTTCTTGGCAAACTATGATTCATTACATTGCCGTCAGAAGCTCAGTTGTCACCTCTTTTGAAACAAATCAGTATCTTAAAAGATCTTCACGCTGTGATTTAAGAGCCTGGCTTGTTCTAAATTCATTAATCATAGAATCCTTTTTGGAATAGAATGGGAAACAATAACCAATTGGTTACTGGTTGTGATAGCATGCCGAGGGTGAAAAACATCAGGATAAATATTCATGCAATTTCAGATTATTCATTTGGTATATTTACTTTTGAATTGGGCCAGTGATTTTGCTTTGGATTGATTACCTGTGTTTAAACGAAGCAGCAAGATTTTAAGCATACAGATTAGAATCTAGCTGAAAAACTACAATGCAGTTCAAAATCTCCATGTCTATTGTTCAGTGATGTTGTCTGCTTCCTTTTGTAGAACGCAAATCTGTTACAATAGTTATAACATCCATGTATTTTAAGAACGAATATTTCATTCTTTGCAAAATTGTCACTGATTGTATTCTTTTTTTTTTTACAGGTGCCCAGATCATTGACCTGATGATGCTTGTGATAGATGTGACAAAAGGGATGCAGACTCAGTCAGCAGAATGCTTGGTGATTGGGCAGATTGCGTGCCAGAAAATGATTGTGGTTTTGAACAAAATAGATCTTCTCCCTGAAGGTAAACGACAGGCTGCCATTGAGAAGATGACCAAGAAAATGCAGAAGACTTTGGAAAATACCAAGTAAGTTACTGCGCCAGTCTCTGTTGCTCTCACGTGTTTTCTTCCATGCTACTACCAGTGTCTTTTGGAAATTTATGATTGAATATTCTTTCTTGGATTGCTTTTGTGCATCATTAGATGAGTGTACATGGTAAAACAAATTTTCAGAGTAGATTACTAGGTAATTTGTCGTAAGACATTCTCTGGGTTATAGCTGCAGTTCATATGATTGTATATGAACACACTGCGGCTAAAAAGACAAGCACAATCTATATTTGTTTCATTAATTTTTTAAATTCTGTAATCCATTTTTAGGAGAGCTGTGGGTAAATAAGAGTGAACGTCTTTGAATAGCATATACTTTTAAAATCACAATGGTCAATTATTTTATGAGCCTTGATATTGGAAATAAGTATTCAGGGGTTATTTTTTATGTTCTGGTAAACATGCATATAGGGACAAAATTTCCCTTTTCTGTGAGATATTTGTAGCTCAAGGAGCTTATGGAGATGCTTTTTGTAGGGCATGATGACAGACCAGGAAGCAAAGTGGAAAAATTAAGTGTTTTTCACAATGTCACAGTGTAGAAAGAAAGTAAAACAAAGGAATCTTTCGTTTTCACCTGCTGTATATTGCTTTTCCTGTCAAGTTTATAGAATTGCAGCAGAAACAAATAGGGTATATATTTTGAAAACAAAATATTTGAAAAGTACAAGAGGATGAAAAAAGCTAACCAAACCAGATTGCACAAACTGTCCTATGTCTTACTTTGATTGCAGGATAGTGTCTTTTGTTCAACTGAACAATCTGAAATATCTAAGTTTTATCAGTCGCTCTGTTCTTCTTTGCTTCTTTTTCTTTTTGATCAGTATGCTATAAAGGTTATTGAGTGAAATTTCTCCTTTTAGATTTGATAGGGCCAAAATCTCATTTTAAAAGCTCTTTTTCGAGATAGTCGTTGGAGGTCAAATAAATTTAAATGGGGGGGGGGGTTGCTGTATTTTTCATCCCTTTTCTTGTTCTTTGAAAGTAAATATCTGCAACTGTGCTCTGAGGAGTTCTTAAAAATACAAAGCCCTCATTTCTGATTGACACCAATGGCCTGATAAAGAATTTTATAATTTTGTCTGCTTGTAAAATCAGCTAGGTAATATAATATCACTGGCTTCAGTATTGTACAAGAATATGCTTTCAATAACAAGGTCCTTGGGATTGCAAAAACTATGCAAAATTATTATTTTATAACAAAATGAACCAAAGGATTTCCTGAAATGTTATTTACTTGCTAGAAGTTCAGTTTACAGTACATCTGTGATGCACCTGTTATGTTGGAGCATAATAGCAACAGATGTTCAGTTAAGAGGCATATTCAGGTGAGTTGCATTGTGAAATTGAATCCTTTCAATTGAATTTATCTTTAGTTTTCAATGCTATCTCCAGAAAATGAACAATATTTTTGCTCTTTTATGTCTGTTGAGATTATTGCTACTACTGACACCAGGCTAAATATGAAACCTTGTTATAAATCAAAAGAAAATTACCACTTTAAAGAGATGTTGCATGACCTCCAGTATCCTGAGAAATTTGTCTTTATGTTTCTCACTGAAGGGTTGACCAAAACTGTAAATATATATCAAGAATACAAATGTCATTTTAAAAGGTCTTTCACCTCCGGCTCTATTAAAGCCTAGGGTCTGTCTGAAGACCATAATTTCTTAGAAGCCATGCCACCAGGCTTTCTAGCATGTCTTCCAATATAAAGCACAAGTTCTGTTTTATGGAAAAAAGGACTCATACATTATAATGCTTGATTTTCCTTTGTCTATTTAAGGAGAGGGTCATGGATTCTCAATTTTTTTCCAGGTGAACATCGATGTGATTTAGTATGTACTGGGACTGTATCATAACATTTTTTAATTGAAATAATGCAAATTGGTGTTTAAATGCTTATTCTTTTAGTCTTTGACTTTCCAAAATCAACTTTTGAATTTTGTATCCATTACTAGTTATTTCTAAAACACTTCTGATTTTTGACAACTATACAGTTTTGAGTGTCAGGAAATATTTAGCGTTTTGTTTGTGCACCAACCACGATGCTCCTCATGACGGACTGTCACTTGTATCCGAGCATGATTGTCTTCTAAGGGCAGAGTCTTGGCAGTGGGTCCATAAATGATTGTAGACCTATTCTGGATCTGCATGGTATTTCGTAGCGCTGACGTACATTTCTAGATAGAAAGCGGTCCTGACGAGTTTACTGAATCCTTCTTCTTGGCACATATTTTTCTTTTGCCCTCTATTCATGCCTCTTCAAAATTCACAGCACTATTGGTAACAACTGACCTCCAGTTAGAATGCTTAGGTGCTAGGGCTTAATCGTTCTCTGTGTGTATTCCATGTTTTTAAGGTTAGTTTTAATCTCATCTTTAAATCTCTTTTGCTGTCCACTAACATTCCGTTTTCTTTTCTTGAGCTGAGAGTAAAGTCACTGCTTTGGGAGTCGGTGATCGGACATTCAGGCAGCATAGCTGGTCCAGCAAAGTTGATGGTGGAGGATCATCACTTCTATGCCAGTAGTCTTTGCTTCTTCCAGAACGCTGGCATTTGTCTGTCTCTCTTCCCAAGAAATTTGCAAGATTTTCGAAGGCAATGCTGATGGAATCTTTCCAGAAGTCGAGAGTAACCTTTTCAGGCATACAACATAGGTAGAAGGACAGTAGCTTTATAAACAACCATATTGGTATCTCTATGAATGCCCTGGTCCTTGAACATTATCTGCTTCATTTGAAAATATGCTGCGCTCAGACGGTGTTTTATTTTGGTGTTGATGTTGGCTTTTGTGAAGAGGTGGATGTCTAGGTAGCAGAAATGGTCAATATAACTAAATGGTTCAGGCCCAGCCCACTTGAAGGACTGTATCTCCTCTTACTAGCCCACACAAGCCTTGAGATCATCAGGAGAGGTCCTTCTCTTCCCAGTCATCTTCTTTGAGTCTTCATAGTATCTGGCAGGCATAATTTCTTTATTCTTCTTCCCTCCATTGTTTAAAATTTGTCTTGGGAAGCCAAGATAGTCCCCTATTTTCCTACCCCGGTATCCTATTCCCCATTTCCAATCCCCCCCAATCCCTCCGTTTTTCCACCCCCTCCTTCCCTAAATTAGTTTACCTAGTAGTACATTCTCATTTTATTATCATTTAAAAATCTATTAATAAAGATCATTTTTTTTAAAAAGGAGAGGTCCTTCTCTCAGTCTCATTGCCATCACAAGTATGGTTGGTGGGAGCGAGAGAGAGAGAGAGAGGGCCTTCTCAGTGGTGGCCCCAAAGCTCTAGAACTCCCTCCCCAAAGAGATGCGATTGGCCCCCTCGCTACTGGCCTTTCATGCACAGGTCAAAACCTTCCTGTGGAAGCAAGCCTTTTCCAGTAGCCCATAATAGGGAATGATCAGACTGCTAGGGGTAAGGCATATCAATGAAGGCCAGTTCGAACCTGACAACCTTTACACGGCCTAAGAAGCGGGGCTTTAGGATTTTTAATATAATTTTTATGGATAACCTCAGTGGCCTGCACATTGTAATCTATAGATATTGGTAGACCCTTACCATAATCCAATATACATTTGGTTTTTCTGTATAAACAGCAGCAGCAATATGGTAGCAGCAGCAGCTACTGCTTCCATGTTAAAGAAAATGCAAATACGTATTGAATGAGGAAAAGGGAAAGGTTGGTAGCTGGTCCCCTCATCTACTCTAATATCGTGACAGTCTTGTTGTAACTGCATTGACTACCCAATGTGTTGGTCTAGCAGCAGTTCTGTCAAATCATATTAACAAAAGTTGATGGAGCTATGCTAACTTTGATGACTACTCTCAATCAAATGTCTAGTAATGATGAACAAGTATTTGTATTTACCAGTATCTCCTTGGGAAGCTTTGTAGCTCATCTTCCATCCCCCTTGTGAGTGCCTTGTGACTCTCTAAGGGCAAAATGAAATTGAGGGGGTGGGAAATTATTTCTAAAGCTGAACTTTATCTTTCTGAACATCTATATTTGTTCATTATGTTATGACACTAATAATCTGTCATGTGTTTCTGTATAATAGAATAGATAGTCTGAATGATGCCCTCTTGGGGATATCGGCATTCCTTTCGAGCTGCTTTCCTCATCCTTTTTATCCTGGAAATAGAAAACAATTTTCAGGACAGAGAAAATATAATATATCTGCAGCTTCCTCAAAAGTGTTTTCCCCCAATCATCATATTTTGCAAAATCCATAGTGACCAAGGAAGTTCGATTGAGAAAAGGTGCTTTAGGGTATATAGATCTAATCACTTGGGTAACTTGGGTTTATTTTTTAATAACTTGTTCTAACATCCCTCTTTTTAAAGGTTTTTCTATTCACTTTGGGGGTTTCTTTTTCAGGTCTGAAGATTGGGTTAAATGATGCAGGAAGTTAGAGTAGTTGCTCTTTTGTCCTGTAGCTCTGTTGTGCCCCAACTGCCAACTGTTTTATAGTTGCCAGTTTGGGTATTTTTAGTGAACTGCATATATTTCCACACAAAGGATTCCTTTCTCTCTCTTTTTGAATGCATGTAGGTTCTAATGAATGTATGGGGGCTTCAGAGGAATACAGAAAGGCACTTAAAAACTTCCAGTGAGCTGAACTGATACTTACTAAACAATTAGTAATGCAAACCTCATTAACAGAGAAACATAACATCCAACCAGTTTTTTAGCTCACAGATTATAGTGTCTGCTGAATGTAGGACTGCATCCTTGCTGACTATCCTCAGAAAACTTTGTCAAGGAGTGGTAAAGCTAGGAAGGAAGAGTTGCCATTTAATCAGACTACTTGCACTGAAGACTGATTTTCTCGTGGTGTACACAGATTAGGCCAGGTGAAGATATGTGTGTGAACATCTGCATTTCTCAAATGCCAGTTGCATGATCATATGAAAAGCTGACTCCTTCATATTCCCTTCTGAACTCCTTCCTATATAACTGTCAGCACAATAGTGTTAATATTCAGTGTTGGTTTCTGTGTCCTATTATCCTCCAGAGCAGAGCTTTCCAAACATGTTTATATTGGAAAACATTTTTATGACACACTTTTTAGACATGTATCATTGAGCAATATAGTAGAATCATAGAATCAAAGAGTTGGAAGAGTCAACATAAGTCATCTAGTCCAACCCCCTTCCATGCAGGAAAAGCACAACCAAAGTAACTCATTATTATTATTATTATTATTATTATTATTATTATTATTATTATTTACCAGTTCCGCTCTCTTTAACTGCAAATGCAAAACCTAAGTTTGGACCCAAAGTACCACCAAACCACTGATGTTGTGGACTTCACCTGAAGGCAACTCTTCCAATTTATGATTTGTTTGACTTAGTGATTTGTTGTCTAGTAGTTCCCATGGGCAAAATACTCAATGCTACTTTACACTGTGTTTTGTTTTTTACTCCACATGCAATAAAGTCATTCTTGCTTCCATTTTATGTACTAAGGACACAGGATTTATCCAAGTTTTCATTATTTTCATAATCTGAAATATCTTCTATGACTTCTCACAGTTTTGCCCACTTATAAAATTCAGGCTATGTCTACTCACGAAGATGATTTGCTTGTGAAAACCTTTAGTACCTTAGAGAGAGCAGGGTTGAAAACAGAAATTCTCTAAGACACATGGTCAAAAAAGCAACATAGTAAATGTGCTTTGTTTGTTCTTCGTGTTACTTATTTTGGGGGCACATGTAATACTTTTCCTGACACTTAGTATGTGGTTATGCCATGGATCAGATAAATTTTCTTATTGTGAGTTACCCTGAAGGAGACATTTGGATGTAAAGGGAACAAATAATCAGAAAAGTGGTAGCCTTGATCCTTGCTTGATACTATTGTACAGTATTTTAGAACAGTTCCCCTAAAATATGTATACCAATGAGAAGTTTTGCAAATCTTGCATTTTATTGTAATACTAGTGGTTGTGGAAAAAACTTGTTTGCACACAAGGTTTTCTCTGTATAAATAAATTTGAAAAAGCAATACACAATGTGTTTGAGCTTTGTAACTGAGAAAAAACCCCTCTAATTCAACATTAATTTATATGTATTAGTGGGAGATTGCCCAAAAGTATTTGGATAAAAATAATTAAATTTCTAGAGGCTTTATGGCTAATCACTCGAATTCTCAGTACACATTTTTATCATGCTTTGTCCCAGGGTACCCTAGGCTTATGGCACATAAACAGAGAAAATACCTTGTATATAGGATTAGTGTTAGATAACTTCGGTGGAAGGGCAACACACTTGAGTGGTGATCCCAGTGGGGTCTGCATTGGAACACTTTGAGAATCAAACTTCCCATGAACATTCATGCTGTATCAAAAAGTTCCTTTCCCCAGAGTCTGGTCCTTTGAGATGAAAATCTAAGGCTTTTAAGCCTGTGGGGGGAAGGCAAAGGACATGCTTGTGACTGAGAAATTTCTTGCCAGTTTTTGTTACGAGGCTCAAGTGAATTCTCAGTACAACTGAGCTTTTAATATATTTGGAACTTTTTCTTCTCCTGTTCTTTTGTACCATGGAGACTAGCCATTCTTTCCTTACTGGATCCGGACAGTATGAGGCCTTACCTGCCTCAGAAGAAAGAAAAGTCCAAAATAGTATCAATATTTATAGTACTGATGGTCCTGTGGCTGCTGCTCAGTGCTGCAAATATATATAAACAGAATGGCTATCTGTTGTTCACAATGTCTGGGAAATGAATGTGTGGTTTACGAGGGATACTAGTACAAAATTCCTCATCTTTCTGTGAAGAAGCTATATTGGAATAAGAGAGGATAAATAAAGAATCTGATTCATTGGAAGCATGGCCCTGGAGCCAGCTTGTTATCGCCCTTTATCTGCTTGCTTATTATGATTTTTGGAGACTAGGGCTCCCTCTGTCTTGGCACTGCTTCCAACCCAACCAAATCTAAGATCCTTTGGAACTACAGTGTGAGGCGAACAACTTCTAAGGCCTCAGGCGAAGAAGAAAATGTAATGGAGGGGGGTTCTTTTTGTTCTTGTTTAACACTGTCGAACCCATAGTCAACATATTTGCACTGGATTTTATATTGACAAGTAAAGTAACTTGGTCCTTTTACTGTTTCCTTTTTGATGTGCCGTGGAACTCCAGATTTTAGACTATGTTAAATTTAGCCATAAAGTTAACTTCATAGGTTCATTGATTTCTAATTTCAGAAGTGAGCATAAAGGGGAGAAATTGGGGAATCCAGTATTTTGTTCGCATAGTAGCTAGACAGATGTGTTATTTATAGGATCACTATTAGTCGAAGTTTGCTTGATGGTAAATAACAAGTGAGAGTGCAGTGATCTCATTGTATCCCACTTTGATGGGTCATATGGTAAAGGAGAACACTGTAGAAACTAAGGGGTATATCACTCAATAAAACTGGCAAGTGAGGTGTTCCATTATGTAATCTGCTTCCAACTATTTATTTGAGCTTCATCGCAGCACATTCAAGAAAGCATTGTTTTTCTGATGAGAGCAGAACATGGAGACTTGACATATGTTCATCTGCAAGAAATGTAAAACATCCTCATTCATACCACATTTTAGAGAGAATGGTCTGGAGTGGTTAGTTTTCACAAAAATTATATTTGGTCCAATGTGTTGTCGAAGGCTTTCATGGTTGGAATCACTGGGTTGCTGTGAGTTTTCCGGGCTGTATGGCCATGTTCCTGAAGCATTTATATTGCTTCTGGAACATATATCTGGTCCACTTATGCTTGCCTTTTTTAAAAAAAGCAACAGCATTAATTGAATGAGTTGATGGTTGACATGTTTGTTTTCTTAGATTTTTTTGCTGAAGAGAAATGGGGTAGTCTTGCCATTTAATAATGTAGTTTTCTTCCCAGAATCACTTTGGGAGTTGTGTGGGCTGTAAATCTATTTTTTCTTAAATAAATGATTGGTTTAAAAGAAGGAATTCTTTGTTGTCAGGTTTCATGGATGCCCTATAGTTTCTGTTGCTGCAAAACCTGGAGGACCAGAAGCCCCAGAAACGGTGACTCCAGTAGGAGTTTCTGAACTAATTGAGGTATGTACCTTATCATCAATAGTGAAAATCTGTTTGCATGATAGAAATTTTCATGCATGAAGGGTACTATTTGATGTGTGTAATGAGTTTCCTCTTGAGGAAAAAGTTTAAAGTAATGCTTTGTAAATAAATAGTGGAAAGTAGGCTTCTATAGTCCTCTTGACATTTACCCCAATGTTTAATGTGCCAGTTAATGACATCTCCATTTTGTGCCTATCCAGTCATGGCATATTAAAATACAAAAGTCCCCTCTCCATATTATTGCATTATTGTGCACCTATGTTCCACATTAGGGGCTGGTTGTAAGATCAGTTTACTGATGGTTCGTGTGAGTTAGAGCCTCCTTGACCAGAAGAGATGCTATGCCCCTTTAAAAAGATGTACTTCTGTATAAATACCATTCAAAATTAACCACTTCTAAAAGTAAAAAGTGTTTGTATGAGAAATAGATAACCTGTAGTTATACACTAATGGTGCCATATCTTGAATCTATATACTTTGGCATAAACCCACTGAACTTAGGATTTACTTCTGATTAGGCTTGATAAAGACAGACCTGTTTATTTCTTAGTACTGAAGATCATAGAATCATAGAGTTGGAAGAGACCTCATGGGCCATCCAGTCCAACCCCCTGCCTAGAAGCAGGAAAATTGCATTCAAAGCACCCCTGACAGATGGCCATCCAGCCTCTGTTTAAAAGCTTCCAAAGAAAAAGCCTCCACCACACTCCGGGGCAGAGAGTTCCACTCTGAACGGCTCTCACAGTCAGGAAGTTTTTCCTAATGTTCAGATGGAATCTCCTTTCTTGTAGTTTGAAACCATTGTTCCGTGTCCTAGTCTCCAGGGCAGCAGAAAACGAGCTTGCTCCCTCCTCCCTGTGACTTCCTCTCACATATTTATACATGGCTATCATATCTCCTCTCAGTCTTCTCTTCTTCAGGCTAAACATGCCCAGCTACACCTTTTAAAACAAATTATTTATACAAAAGTTACAAGTTCAAACATCCAGAATTACAAAATACAAGGCAGTTAAAGACCTTTCTCTGCCAGTGGGCATTTGGAAAAGGATAAGGGGCACACTGCTGGAGAGGTGTGAGTGGAATTCGAGAGGTTGGGGGTTTAATGCTATTTTAAGTGAATTCATTATATTTTAACTTCATTTTAACCAAAACCTACACAGTACTATTTAATTTTTTTAAAATGTATTGGTTTTGTTTTAAATTGTGATCAAAGTGTGTGATTTTCAGCCACCTTGAGTCTCCGTGGGGAGAAAGGCAGGGTAGAAATAAAGTAAGTGTGGTAAGTAAGCAAGTAAATATTTCTAAGTTTAGTTCAAGGTTTTTGCTTTTTTTGTAGGGGGCAGAGATGTATACTAGAATCTTAGTTTATAAATTTACTATCCCATACTGTTAGTATTAAAGAACAGCTCTTCAGAAGGTCTTAAACTTGAAATAAACTTGATGTGGTCTTAAACTTGAAATAAATTATATATATATATATATATAGTCGTGTCAGGAGTGACTCCTGGTGTGAGAGAATTGGCCGTCTGCAAGGACGTTGCCCAGGAGACGCCTGGATTATTTTGATGTTTTTATCATCCTTGTGGGAGGCTTCTCTCATGTCCCCGCATGAGGAGCTAGAGCTGATAGAGGGAGCTCATCCGCCTCTCCCCGGATTTGGACCTGCGACCTGTCGGTCTTCAGTCCTGCCGGCACGGGTTTAACCCACTGCGCCACCGGGGGCTCATAAATAATATGAACAGTAAATATTACAAAGGGATTTAAATCTAATGCATATTTATAAAGCATATACAGATATCCTTGGTTAATTCATCTGGACAATCAGAAATTTTTCTTATCAGAAAGCTGAACTAAATACCTAAGACTCCATCCCTCTCTTCTTCCTCTGGAGAATTCTAAATCATCCCTGCTACTGTATGTAGTTTAATTTGCAGTATGTTGTATAGGTTTTCAGTTTGGTCTTACATATGGCTACTCAGAGACACATTGAGTCAGGTGTACTGTGAACCCAAGAAATAGTGAGTTACTTAAGAATTCATAGTTTATCCTCTGGAACTTCAAGCTCCATAGATAAAAGATCCAGCACTTGTTTGTTCCTAAGTCTTTCAGACTACAAGTGTGTGAGAGAAGGAAAGACAAGGCAATGCCTTGAATCCTGTTGCTAGTTTCAGCCAGAGAAAACTTATTGGATCACTTCTCAAATTCTGAGTCAACACTAATGCAAATCTTATGGAGTCTGTGGGCCTACTCTGGTTGAAAATTATGATAGCATTCACATAATACTGAATCCAGTGCACCTCACATTGAATGCTCCTTGGGAGATACTCTTATGAACAGTTACTTCCAACAAATTAGTGTCTACACTTACAAAGCACGGGTCGCCAAAACCAAATAGGCTTTCATCAACAATTAGAATACTTTAAAAAATTCTAACATTTTGGGCCTTTGCTTGTGATGGTACTCTCAGCCAACTTCGCCACCGGGACTGTGGCGCAGCTGGCTGAGAGTCAACAGCACTAAGATTACTACTGACCGAAAGGTCATGAGTTTGAAGCTAGCCTGGGTCGGAGTGAGCTTCCGACCAAATGTGTAGCTTGTTGTCGACCTTTGCAACCTGAAAGACAGTTGCATCTGTCAAGTAGGAAATGTAGGTACCACTTATATGTGGGGAGGCTAATTTAACTAATTTATGAGGCCATAAAAATCTCCAACAAGCATGCGGGGAACGAGGAAGTACTTCATCAGTGTCGCAGATGGATGGTGACGGTGAAGTGACAGCTCTCCTGGTGGCCAGAAAAAGTTGGAATGTTAAATAGCCTCTGACTGTCTGTCTATATGTGTTGTGTGTCTATGGCATTGAATGTTTGCCATGTATATGTACATTGTAATCCGCCCTGAGTCCCCTGCGGGGTGAGAAGGGCGGAATATAAATACTGTAAATAAATAAATACTGGGTATGATTAAACTGTGATTGGTCAAGCTTTTGTTTTGAAATTAGAGGGAGGGAAGAAGACAGCAACTTTGCTTCTCCTTTACAAGGGCAATAATGATTATGAATTTTTCACTCTTATCAAGGGACATGTGGAAACTTTTGCCCACTGGAGCTTTTAATGATGTCCAGTTGCAAACTGGCGGATAGACATGTGTCCTTCCTTTTCTCAGGAGCTGTTATTCTTCGCTGTAATGCTGGAACCCCCGGTGGCGCAATGGGTTAAACCCTTGTCCTGGCAGGACTGCTGACTGACATGTCAGTGGTTCAAATCCAGGAAGAGCAGGTTGAGCTCTCTCTACCCATGCGGGGACATGAGAGAAGCCTCCCACAAAGATGGTAAAACATCAGAAACATCCGGATGTCCCCTGGGCAACATCCTTGCAGACAGCTGGTTCTTTCACACTAGAAGGGACTTGCAGTTTCTCAAGTCGCTCCTGACACACACACACACACACACAGCAGCATGTGCTGTTTATTTGGCATTAGCCTGTTCCAACTTTGATTTAGCACTTTTAGATAGGCTGATGAAATCATTCATCCACCTTTTCTTCCATTTTTGCATGACTGATGTGATATTTCATCAAGATGGGGGCATATTTTGTCTCCTTTTTAGGTCCTGAAAGCAGAGGCTTACTTACCAAAAAGAGATTCCTCAGGACCTTTCCTCATGGCTATTGACCACTGCTTCTCCATTAAAGGTCAAGGCACTGTGATGACAGGAACTATTCTTTCCGGCTCTGTTAGTGTTGGGGACAATGTGGAGATCCCTGCCCTGAAGGTAAGTCGATTATTTCTTTCTCTAACATCTTCATAAAAAAGAGGAAATGAGATACTTTGAAATTAAGACTGTCTTTGCTCCACATCCCCCATGTATCCATTTGTTTTTCATTTTACTTTTGAGAAACATAATAATTATTTTGAAAATACTACATAGTACTGTGTGCAAATGCAATATAGTGTTCTAAATCCAAATGCTATTATCCATCCCATCAATGCAACTAATGCCCTTCAGGATTTGATTCAGTGAATGTACTGTAGTAGTGAGTGGCAATTAGATTTCAGACAGAATTGTTAAAAAAAAAAGTAGTTTGAAAAGGTGATGGAAGCCAGAGGCTGATTTTTTAAAAAGAGTATGTCTAATATTTAAAGAAAGAACATTTTTGGATAGATGGGAGAAACCAACTAGTCTTGCTGCATTTTTGCGACAGGGAGAAAGTGAGAAGTGAATTTCAGGACATGTTATTAATGAGATCAGAAGCAACAGGTAAGTATTTCTAAGTCTGGCTGTCAAAATATTGAAAAGACCGAAGAAATCATTCTGGCCAATATTTTTATGATGGAGAAGGCAGTAAAAGCTTTCCAGAGAAAGGCTCTGGCACTCTTTTGTGAGGGTAACCTTAAGCAAGGTATAAACATTTGTGAATGACACTGGAAAAATAAATAGTGAGCTATCACAATAAAATCGTGTGACAAGATTGCAAAACATACGAGTATTATTATTTTCCTGTGAGATTCAAATGGTATGTGTTCTGAAATTCATGGAGAAGAAGTTATAGGATATTAACATGTTTAAAATGTAATATTTCAGACTTTGACCACGTTAATTAATGGCTATAGATGAATTTCCTACCTAAACCCAAAGGGTTTCCACTTATTCAAATATAAGTATGTTTAACATTTCATCTTTTAAAACAGTTAAATCCTATGCAGCCTTCTCAGAAAGAAGTCCCACTACGTTCTGTGACATGCATTCCCATCTAAATGGACTTGTGATTGCAGCTGTAGACAAATTTCAGTTATGAAGCAGATGTTTTTCTAGAAAATTGGTACTAAAGGCAGAAGTAACATGGAAAGAGTAGGGATAGACTAGGAAAAGGAACAATTGGGCATGTTTCAATTAATATTTTATGCAAAACGAATAATATTCCCATATGAACTAGGATAACCATGTCAAATGTAACTTTTATAAATAAATAACATTTTGAATATTTTAGACAAAACTTGAAGGCTTCTTTGAAAATGCATCCAGGGATCACTTACTAACCCCCTCTTTAGTAGTGCCATTTTGGGTGGGTTGGGGGGGGGGCAAACCTTCTGCTCTCTATTTTATTTTAATTTGCTAGAGGTAGCTGATGAAGCAGGCTTATTGCCTGTCTCTTTTTAATCTGTTCTACAGTTCATGACTGTTTGGTAAGGAATTCCAGGGGCTACTATTTACTTTGTTGTAAATAGGAACACATAGTTACAGCAGGATTGGCTAGAGCCAGAATCCCCATTCTCTCCCAGCTCAGCCTTTATTATTGGATTGTTTACTGCCGTCAGACTACTTCAACCCAAAACTAAAAGTCTATTCTTCATCAGACCTCCTTACCCATCTTCCCAATGCCAGTGCTGCTAAAATAACCTCTAGCGCAGTGGTACTCAACTAGTGGGTCCCCAGGTGTTTTGCCCTACAACTCCCAGAAATCCCAGCCAGTTTACCATCTGTTAGGATTTCTGGAAGTTGAAGGCCAAAACATCTGGGGACCCACAGGTTGGGAACCATTGTTCTAGCTGATCTATGGATAAAGAGGAGAAAGAGGGACCCTGGGTGATATAAAAAATTCTGTATAAAAAAGAGTATCACTGTCAGATGTGTTTAAAATTATCCACATGGACGATAATATGAAGAAAATTCATAGCATGCTATGCAGTGGTAGCAGTATACATGTGATGGAGAATAATAACTATATTTTGGGGTGTATATATGATACAATGATAAACAAGTAATACATAATAAAAGCAGCAATGTTGTTGTTGTTCATTCGTTCAGTCGTCTCCGACTCTTCGTGACCTCATGGACCAGCCCACGCCAGAGCTCCCTGTCGGCCGTCACCACCCCCAGCTCCTTCAAGGTCAGTCCAGTCACTTCAAGGATGCCATCCATCCATCTTGCCCTTGGTCGGCCCCTCTTCCTTTTGCCTTCCACTTTCCCCAGCATAATTGTCTTCTCTAGGCTTTGCTGTCTCCTCATGATGTGGCCAAAGTACTTCAACTTTGTCTCTAGTATCTTTCCCTCCAGTGAGCAGCGGGCTTTATTTCCTGGAGGATGGACTGGTTGGATCTTCTCGCAGTCCAAGGCACTCTCAGCACTTTCCTCCAACACCACAGCTCAAAAGCATCAGTCTTCCTTCGCTCAGCCTTCCCTAAGGTCCAGCTCTCACATCCGTAGGTTACTACAGGGAATACCATGGCTTTGACTAGGCGGATCTTTGTTGCCAGTATGATGTCTCTACTCTTCACTATTTTATCGAGACTGGACATTGCTCTCCTCCCAAGAAGTAAGCGTCTTCTGATTTCCTGGCTACAGTCTGCATCTGCAGTAATCTTTGCACCTAGAAATACAAAGTCCGTCACGGCCTCCACGGTTTCTCCCTCTATTTTCCAGTTGTCAATCATTCTTGTTGCCATAATCTTGGTTTTTTTGACGTTTAGCTGCAACCCGGCTTTTGCGCTTTCTTCTTTCACCTTGATTAGAAGGCTCCTCAGCTCCTCCTCGCTTTCGGCCATCAGAGTGGTGTCATCTGCATATCTGAGGTTGTTAATGTTTCTTCCAGCAATTTTCACCCCAGCTTTGCATCATCCAGCCCCGCACATCGCATGATGTGTTCTGCATACAAGTTAAAAAGGTTGGGTGAGAGGATGCAGCCTTGCCGTACGCCTTTCCCAATCTTGAACCAGTCTGTTGTTCCGTGGTCAGTTCTGACTGTTGCTACTTGGTCCTTGTACAGATTCCTCAGGAGAGAGACAAGGTGGCTTGGGATGCCCATCCCACCAAGAACTTGCCACAATTTATTATGATCCACACAGTCAAAGGCTTTAGAAAAGCAGCAATAACAACCTTCTTTTGGCAATACTTCTTTGTAACAATGTCGTGTTCATTTTATGAAACTGAACAAAATTAGCAAATATGTGAGTTTACTTTTATAGTTATATTTTAAATTCATGCCTTGCTTGTTGCATATGGCTATCCCTTCATTGCCTCTTGTCAGTATACATGGATAGACAGAGAATATTAGGAAGTTAGGTTATATTTTCTCTCCCACTGGTCTGGTTTGTGGAATGCTAGGCTAGGATACCTGTGAGAGGTTATACTGTTCTACAAACTAATCGTGGAAGCAGTTTTTCTAACATACTGTGGATCACGACACTCCTTGACCTTTCTTTGCCCTGACCCTTTGCTAACTGAGATTGACGGCTGGTGCCCACTGGGCATTGGGGACATTGCAAAACAGCTGCTTTCCAAATTCAAGGAACCCTCCCAGCAAATAAAGTAGCATCTCGTACCTATTCTGCTAATAGACTTGGACATCTGTGACCGCTTGAACTTGTGCAAAGGAGGGACAGAGCAATTAAAAATAAACAGTGACATTCTCGAACGCCCATACTTTCTGATTGAGGTTGAGAACGCCAGCAGCACATGGATTCCTTTACACTGTTCCCTATGTAAATTGCCATCTGGGGATGATTATTGGAACTGCAATGAGAGAAGTGTGTGCATGTTGGTTAAAACCTTTGACGCAGCAAACAGTTTTCCAATGATGCAATTTAATACTATTTGCCCAACATTACTTGAAATTTATATTAAGGAGCTCTAGCCTAAAATGTGTACTGTGAAAATGTGATGATAACACAGTTGTGGCTGACCCCTGGGATTATCTTAATGACCATTAAAATCTTTAAACTGCCACATATCCAAGTTAATAAATTAAGTGTTTGCACATGGTGTAACAAGTATGCTGTTGCTGCCTCTTTAAAGTTGCTGAGTGATGACATCCAGTGGAGCATTTCCAACTCCTCAGACATGAGAGGACGTGGGGAAATGAATGCTTTTGCATATTATTCCAGTCATTTCAGAAACTTTGGCATGACCTCTTGACTGGTTAGACTGGGCTGTCATCACTGTCTTTACTTTACAGACTGGGAAGCAATGATCTATAGCAATGGTGTGCAACTTGCCACCTTGCATGCCCATCACCAGTGGGATCCTTTTCACTTCCTCTGTGGGCCAACTGCAGAAAAAAACCTGTTCTTTTGCTTCCTTAATTGTGTTACTAGAGATTGGCAAACAATAATTTTGGTTCCAATCTCTGGGATATGGGAGAGGCTTTCTTCCTTGTCACCACTCCTTCTCTGCCACAATCACTAGATTGTGTATGTGCATATGGTGTGTGAGGTGTTACCTAAGGAAAAAAAATGTAGAAATATTAACATTTTCTTCATTTCCATGAGGGTCTTCAGCATTTAAGTTGACAATAGAAGCGAAGGGGCTACTGTATATTCATAAAAGTAATATTTTATGAAGGTATATTTTCCCTCTAGAACTGAAGGCAGTATGCCTCTGTATATCAGTTGTTGAGAAGCATGAATCGAAGGTTGCTTTTGTGCCTGTGGTTTGATCTAGCAGGAGTTTCCCTATAGGTTCTTGTTAGGGATGCAAGTCTTCATAAATTTTGTCCCCATACTCTTAAGACCTATAAAACTACTCTTTTCTTCCTGATGTGAGAAATGTAAGAAGTGCTCAGAATCTTGCAGTTTTTGTAGACTATTCAGAGTTTGATAGTTTTCTGTGTGAACCCCCCCCCCCTCTGTTTGCACAGAAAGCAGTACTTTCTGCACAGAAAATCGCTGTGTAGAAAATGGATGGCTTGGCCCGATTTACTGGGCCGAGCGTGTTGTGGCGAAAGGTGTCCTCGCCGCCATCTTGGGCCTCGGGGCTTCTTCTTCCCAGAAGCCCCC